GACCACATTTTCTTTTGGTCGTAAATTGGAAGTTAAGTCACTTCTGCTTTACGACCAATTTATGTGGTCCCAAATTTACTTCGGTTTTACCACCAATATCTTTTTGGTTGTTGACTGGTCGTAACACGGACGTAAAGTTACGACCACCATTTCGTGGTCGTAACTGTTGGTCGGTACTCAAGCGTTTTCTTGTAGTGAATATAAAAAAGAGATACACTAGATCTAAAGTAAATTAACATATCTATTTGTTTAAAGATAACAAAAATTTTTATATTTATTTTTAGAATAGTTAAATCTCAAAAGAAATAGAGTATTTGCACCCTCTATACACATAAAATCTTATAATTAGGGATATACCCTATTTCTCTTTATCTCTCTCCTCCTCACATATCACATTTTTCTCCCAATTCTCAGGTATCTCTCTCTTTTATAATATTTAGCTAATTCACAAAGAAATAATCTTCGTATTAATCCGGAAATACCATACTTCAGATTGAGATGAGTGATTATCACCTTCTTTTATTATTTTAGTAGGAGCTACCAAAAAAATATAATTGTTTATATTGTTTTGTTAATAATAGCAAAATTAAAGTGATTATCGTTCAATATTATTTTATATTATTTTTATAGTAACTATAATTTGCAGTAAAAAATTATTACCATTAAATAAAGAATCATCAACAAACTATACATCTGTCAATTATCGTTTTCAAATAGTTCAACTGAATCGAAGATTTTGTCTTTTCAAATTCGTTGGAAGAAACATGTAAATTATAAATAAAAAAAACTTTGCCAGATTCAAAATAAGTCTAACAAATTAAGAAACAAGAAACAAAAAAAAAAAAAAAAAAACAAAACAAACTAAACAAGCCGTCGAAGACTCGATCGTTGAAATAATTAAAAAAAATTCTTATTTTTTCTTTTGACGGTTAGGATTTTCAACATAGTACTTTTCAGTTCATTTACTTTCAATACATATTTGTAGGTATGCGACTTTCGTTTTTCGAAACTGAACCGTCGGTTTTTGGTTAACAAAAAATTTTGAAACCTATTCTGAAATTAACTGAATAAAATTTCGGTTCGGTTATCGGTAATTTCGGTTTCAAAATTATTTCCGAAAATAACCTTTTTTTTGCTTTTCGGTTATTTTGGTTAAGTTAGGATATTTTCGTTTTTTCCAGTTTAATTCGGTTCAATTTTTGGTTATTTTCAGATATTTCCGGTTATATATTTACGGTTTTGTAAATTATTTTTTTTGAAAATCAAAAACCAAACCGAACCGATAACCGAATTACTTTTTAGAATCCTACCAAACTAAACCGAATTCAAAACCGAAACCGAAGCGAAAATCGAAAATTTCGGATCGGCTCGGTTCAGACTGTTCGGTTCGGTTTAAAGTCGCAGGGCTACATATTTGATTAGTAGGTATATTGCAACATATAAGCCCATCATAGGCAATAGAATATTTTGTCACCAGCATATAACTACTTGGCCCATCAAACACCAGAGTTTCCGTTTTCGCATGGCCGAACGGGCCGAACCTAGTTTTCTGACGCCTGAATGAGGAAGATACGGTTCCCTATATCTGAGAGTGTTGCATCTGTGGTTCTATGGGAAAGGACAACATAGATAACATCTGACCCATGATGTCATCTTCTTAAGCATATTAACATAAAGTAACTTACATTTTTAACTAGTACATTATGCTGCAAGACTATATTTGTGTCAGATAAAAGTGTAAATCAACTAGAAAGGCTCAATAGAAAAAGGATTAACAGAAAAGAGACTGTAGTGTTTGGTTACATGTCTGTCTCGATGAGCATGTTTTTGAAATTACTTCCTAAAAAACATAATAAATTCTCCAGGAACTCTAACAAATGACAATAACAATAGTAAGTAATATAACACACGACGATTATGAAGTATAAATTACATTCACCATCACAAAACCTAACGTGGAGTTAAAACACATAAGAGAAATGATCTATGACGCCTAAGAAGTTTCTTTGTTCAGTCTTGGGCTCAAAGTCAGTGTACAGAATCTATGCTCTTGCTTAGCTCTTCCAGCTTCTTCATCCTCATCTTTTCGCTTTCTCCCACCAACTGCGAATCATTCGTTTCAAAAGACCCGTTAGTCAAAAGTTTAAATCAGCAAATATCAGAACGCGACTGGATTGATCATTATGTTCAGTTTGCAGACAAGATATGTGAAAGAAAGGCATGAATGTTTGAATAGAAACATAGTTATTTCGATATCTAAATCAACACAGCACAAAGAGATTGTAAGATCGAGTTTGGATGAACTAAGGCCAAATAAATGAACGGGAAAACCTAAACCTGAATCTGCAATATCACGAGGTTGCCTAAAACTATACGACATAACAATAAACAAGCTAAGAAAAGAAGAGAACAAGAACTAGAACAGTTGCTAAACCAAGCATTAGCTGCAGTTACTATATTAGCCAAAAAAAAAAGATATTCTAATCGTTTATTGACACTAACCTCCATTAGCTTGGTGATTAGCTGCACCTTCTCTCTATTTTTTTCGTTGAATGCTTCAAGAGCTTCTTTGTACTCTCGTTCCTACACCAAATTACCATCTTAATAATCCATAACCAGACATATATTATGAAATTGAAGTTTAATATATATGTATTGAAGGTTGAAGCCATACCTTTTTCTGAACAGTAAGACCCAATGGCTTTAATTCTTTGTTGACAGAGTCAACCTTCTTCCTAACCAAAGCAACTTCTTTCCTCATTGGGTCAGCTAAACCTTCAAGTTCCTGATACACAAATTGAGCTTCAAACTCATCAACGTAACATAAAAAAAAAGGAAAGAGCTTTGACCCACAAAACTCATCTAAACCCCTAGAAACAAGACTAAATCCACAGCTTTTTTCACTTCAGTCCTAAACCCAACACCAAAGTGGGCAAAGTCCCATCCTTTTCACAAAACCCAAAACCAAAGTATAATCCTTTTTTTTTGCTCAATTCAATTGTCAGATCTTGAAACCAAAATTCAAATACAATTCTCAAAAAAGAAAAAAAAAGATTATGATGAGGATAATGACAAATAAATAAATAACTACCTCACGGATCAAAGCGAGACGCTTAGTCTCTTCTTCAACGCGACCAAGCTGAGCTTGAACCCTTTCCTTAATCTCCATCTTCTTCTTCTCGATCTCCTCTTCTTTCGCCCTGAAAGCCGACAAAGCATTCCTCGACATCTCTTCGTCTTCTTTAGACATTTGGCTGCTGAAACTCATACTTCCCGACAGCTGAGTTCCTAACTGTCGGCTTTGCACCGTCGGCTGCGAAGTCTCTGTTGCCTTCATATTTACTCTTTTCTTGTTCTGAACTAAAACCCCTTTAGCTCTCTCTCTCTGTGGTTCTAGGTTCTTCTGTGGTAGAGAAAAATGGATACTGTGTGAGCTTTCTTTTTGATCCCAGAAATAGTATTGTCTGTTGTGATATGAACATTATTATATAAATAAAAAGATAAATTAAAGGGAAAAATACAGTGGTATAACGGGAACTTTTTTTAAAATATTATAATATTGATAACGTATAGCATAAAGAAATAACAGGTAAAAATAATAATTATTAGGTGAAATTACTTAACTACCACCAACAACCGATAAATATGTAGAAAAGAAAAGGATTTCTTAAAACATATAAAATAAAGGGTGTGGAGTATATAACAAAAAAATATTAAAAGGAAAAAGCGAGAGAATCTGAATTGTAACCGTTAATTTTCGAACTTTATATGATGACCGTTTGATCTTTAATCCGACGAAGGATGAATAACGGTTGACTCGTAAAGTAATGAGCAGTGTTTACTCACAAGCACGCGGACCAAAATGTAATAGGCCCAAGAAGAATAGTAAATGAGGCGTTTTGATATGATCAGGCCCATTAAAGCTTTTAAACGATGTGAATAGTCCCACATCGTTCAGACGAAGAAGAACAACTGTGTTTAAATGGCGAAAGAGTTGCGAAGATGATTGTCCCTTCGGGGACATCCGATAAAATTGGAACGATACAGAGAAGATTAGCATGGCCCCTGGGCAAGTTTGACACGCACAAATCGAGAAATGGTCCAAATTTTTTTTTTCTCGAAATTTTTCCAGATTAGTTTCTTTTTGTTCTGTTGTTATGTGTTTCGAGTATAGGGTTTCCTGCTGTTCTTCTGGGTTTCTTTTTTTGTAAAACCCTAAATGCTGTTTCGAGATTCAGATCTGCGCGAAATATAAAGTTTCCATACGAGAGTCAATGCGTTTTGTTAAACAGTAGACCGGTGCAGAATGTAATAAACGAGATTCCGGTTAGGGTAAACCAATTCAACTGATCTTTAACGGAACCACTAGCTAGCTCAGAGGCAGTGACACCGATAAGTAATGCCGTAAATGTAAACCAATGATATGAAGTAAATGTAAATGTAAAAATGGACAAAATTTTGTTGATTCTAGTAAATGGAAACGGAAACTACATTTGTCTATCTTTTATCGTACCATTCTTTGTTAGACTTGTCGTTAGCTCAATGACAATCATTGAGTCAATGCTTTATCACTTCGAAGTTCAAACTATACTCTTAATAAGGAAGTAATAAATTATAAACTTAGGCTATAACAGAAACAATTCAATACTAGACTACGTTACATGAGGAAGTAAATTATAAACTTAGCCTATAACAGAGTTTATCAATGTATCCATACTCCAAAGCGCTGTATCGATATTGCCAATATATACCAAACGATGTGTGAATTATATCTTGCAAAGTTGGTTGTAATTTAAAATACATCATTGCAAAGATGTAATGTGTAATCCTATGATTGGAATGCAATAATAAGCAGTTTGTTTTACATTTTGTTTATATCATGTGATTCTAAATTTCAAATAATAACTTTTTTTGTTAATTATATGTTCCAATTTCCAAAACGCACGAGACATATGAAAAGAGTTTGAGTTTACATTCTCCAAATAGTTTGTCAAAAAAAAAAAAACTTTTTACTTTTTCTTAAAATGTGATTTAAATATGATCATGGCCTAAGAAATTTTATCTGATGTTGGCAGAGTAACAAAATGTTTGGACTTGGAGATATTGAATCTGAGAGTAAGCCTTTTGGTGTACAACATTTCTGTAAATAGTTAGTTTTAAATTCTTCTCAGGTTTTACTTAACTTCAACCTCGCCTCTTAAGAGTTTCTTTGTCAATTCTCAAGTTATTCAGCCGATACTCATCTTTCAAAGAACTACATATGTGGTGGAACTGGGAAAGGGAGTTAATGCCATCAATGGTACAAAGACAAAGGTCATGTCGTGCTTTGAAATATGATAAACACAAATATTCAAATGATTTCACTATCAAAGGTTCTGAGATGTTTTCACACCTCACAGTGCTCCTTTAAAGCACAGAGATCACAAAAGCAGAACTTTCCGCGAAGAGTCTTATCAGTAGTGATGGAACAATCTTCAAATACAAAACTTTGATAGTTGCAACTGGCTCTACAGTGAGCATTAGCTCTTCCTCTCTTGATCTTACTCTAAAGCTAAAATTCATATCAAGAATCCATAAAAATCTTGCAGTGTGTGGTTTACAAGATGCAGATGCTAAGAATATCTTCTACCTAAGAGATATTAAGGATGGTTATTGGCGGTGGAGAAGGCAAGATTTGAGACCAGTGCTTCACTAACGGTTCACAACTACGATGTCACCATGGTTTTTCCAGAACCTTGGATTAGTAAGTGGAAGCTTGACCTACACGAAAAGACTTTATTTCTGTTAGGTATAACAAAGAACTAACTCCTCTGTTTTCCTCTGTTTCATCGGTGTAGTGCATTGGCTTTTTACCGCTGAGATTCGCTTCGTTCTACGAAGGTTACTATGCTAACGAGAAACGAGGGAATAAAAATCATCAAGAGTACTAAAGCGACTGGACTCAGTACAAACTCAAACGGAGAAGGTGGCAGAAGTGAAACTAGATGATGGAAGAACCCTAGAAGCTGACATGGTGATTGTGGACATTGGTGGTCGACCAATGACATCGCTTTTCAAAGGTCAGGTGGAATAGAGGTTTGAGGTTTATGCAGCATTTTTCTCCCATCTTTTGTGACCACCATTAAACTCGTTGATTTTCCTTTTGATATATTGTAGACTGATGGGTTCTTTAAAACAAGCGATACGCCATTGGAGATGTAGCTACATTCCCTATGAAACTCTATGGTGATATGAGACGTGTAGAACACGTTAACCATGTTTGCAAATCTGACTTTGGTTTATTTTAGGCAATCAAGGCGGCAGAGGAAGGGAAATCTATACTAGAATATGATTATTTACCTTTCTTACACTCTCGAGCCTTTGATCGCTCGTGGCAGTTTTATGGAGACAACGTTGGACAATCTGTACTATTTGGAGACAACGATCCGAACTCTCCAAAGGCAAAATTTGGGACTTATTGTTGGGTTAAAGATGGGAAAGTGGGAAAACCTTATATTGTAGATCATAACATTATCTGTTTTTACACATTAAGAAAAACATTTTATGATCTACAATATAAAGTTTAAATCAAAAAAAGATTGAGACCGTAAATATTAAATGGACGGCACGTCTATAGGTAGTGCCATTCCACACATATAACAACAACATGATACTAAATATTACATGTACCAAGTCATTCTTACATCTAATAAGCATAATCTCGGAAGAGAGTCTAGAGAGGTTATCATGGCGCAGAGAATCATGACACTGGTTTTGCTCATAGAGATTTTGTTTATGGTAAATACGATCGCAGCGTATAACAATGGAGATGTGATTCACGTCGCGGGGAAAGTGATGTGCCAAGACTGCACTCTTAACTACGACAAATGGATCAACGGTTCTGAGCCCATCAAAGGTATATATTAATCCCCCTTGTTCTACCATTATCCATTTGCCGCTTCTAAATTTATCAACGTTTTTACAGCTATTCTACCTGCTAGTCTGCTACCATAATCTTACCTACGATTGAGGATTCGGTTAGTAGAATAACTCCAGTTTATTTGGTTCCATCATTTTCGGTTATACCTAAATTTTGCTAACCCGAAATAAAAGTTGATCCAATATTCGGTTAGTTCGGTTTTTAAAATCCTACCGAACATAATCAAAATCTGTATTTCGATTAGGTTTTAATTTAATTTTAATAAAAATTTGGATTTGCTCGGTGTGCAAACTTAGTTATTTCGGTTAGTTTGACTCACGTTTTGGTATGGTTTAGTATATTTTCTTATGGAAGAAAATAAATGTAACTTAGTGCCAAACCGATAAAAAATCAACATTTTTAAACCTAATTAGCTGAACACTTCTAATCGAAATTGAACCGAAAATTCAAAAAATTTGGTTCGATTTGTTCGGCTGGTTAGGAAAAAAATCCTAGCCTACTCTTACCAGATGACTTTGATTTACCGGTTAACTCATAACCCGGTCTGGAATTATCTAAAAACAGATTTTAGTTAACCATAATAGTTCCATTGTGTATCTTTCAGGGGCTGTGGTATCAATAACTTGTATGGACGAGAGGGAAATAGTGTACTATGGCAGCGACAAAACCGATGAGAGAGGCCAGTTCGATCTTATCGTCGACAAAGTCCTTTACGGCGGCAAGAATCTGAAGCCTCAACTTTGTAAAGTCAGGCTCGTGTCCTCTCCTGACAAGTCATGTGGTATTGCAACCAATTTCGGTAATGGTCAAACCGGAGTGAAGCTAGTTCAACCGTTTATGGTTTTCAAGGATCTGGTTAAGTTTGTGGTCGGACCATTTTACTATACCACTCCCATGTGTGAGACCCCTAAATATGAAAACAACTACTAGACTTGGATCATTGGATGGTTTTGACTTTTGCTTTAAGGTCATTCAAATCTAGAAGTGCTTTACTAAATATACATTTCTCAAATATGTAACGTGGCATGATTTTTTTCCCTTAATTTAATTTGTTGATTCTTGTAAATGTATACAAATTATAACTTTTACAAGTAATAAACTTCTATCATAATATGTAAGTCTTAGTTTGTATACCAAAAATGTTTACAATAAGTTTGTCATATAGTAACATAAAATTATATTAAGTTTGTAATTAGTTGCTTGTTTATGATCCAAATTTCAAATCTTGGATTTTGTTTTAATTTGTTGGATAATAGTTTTACTAGATCATTATTTGCGCATCCACGCATATTTTTTCGGATACATTCTATACTAATTAGTTTTATATAGTTTTGAGTCAATTCATGTGTGATTATTTTTTTTTTAAATGGATCATTTTTTAGAAACTTATTTAAATAAATTTTTGTATACATATTTGAAATATTTTTTAATTATTCTAAGAAAAACCAAATAGATATTCGTATATTTTCGTTAAATTACATCTAAACAAAAACTTTTCATATCTTTTTATTTACAATATAAAAAAAAATCAATTTTAAAAGGGATTGTGGAATTACTTTCTTATTTTTTAAAAATATAAATGATCTAATATTTGTATAAAATGAAAATAATCACATGCACGGTTGTGCGGGTCAAGATCTAGTTCTATTTTATGTTTAAAAAATAATATCAAAACCGTTTTTTTGATCCGCAGTTTAACTGGTTAATCTAGTGATCCGATAATTCGATTTTGATTTTTAAAAATACGATTTTAAATCAAAATCACTAAACATCGCGACCAACCGATAGATAACCGATATTTAATATTTAAACATGTAAAATTAAGTTTTTTGTTATTTTATAAATTATTTGATTTTAAAAATTATTTAATTTATCTAAATAACTTGAAAAAAATTTGTTAAAAATTATTAAAAATGAGAGTTCGTATATTTGTATTATTTAGATACAATATTAATTATAATGTTGTTTGGAAATATTGATAGTAGTATAAAAATGAGTATAGTGTTTATAAACATAAATAATAATATAAAGAAAATAATATTAATAATTTAATATAAGTTTAATTATCAAATAGAAATGCATATTTAATTTAAAACTTACAAAATAAAAGTTAGGTCAAGCACAATATTTCTGATTTAATAAGATATTTGTCACAACTGTTTCCTTTGTTTCAGGTAATCGAAATAAATGTTCAAGGTATAAACTTAAACGTAATCAAACTGAAAGTAAGAGTTGATCAACTGCGAGGAACAGAATAACATCGTTACCTGGTTCAATTAAATTGAACGTAGATGTTTTGTAGTTGGACATATTTGTTTGAAAGGAGATATCTCTATAATATTATTTGATAAGTCAGTTTTCTATGTGTCGTTATCACGTTCACTTTCACGATGGTTGATTACACTGATGTCCTTAATGAATTAAAAAGTTAAAAATAGTATTATTAATTATTTTATTTAGTTTCCTTTTCAAAAATTTCCAAAAATATATGTAATAAAAAGAATTTTTTTTATAAAGTCATAAAAATAAATTAAAAACAAAAAATATATGTATATATAATATGATTTCATAAAAATAGAAAGTTCACAAAATAGTAATAAACTAATAATACATTTAAAATATTTTTAAATAACATAAATATATTAAAAACGAAAATATATGTATATATAATATGATTTCATAAAAAATGAAAGTTCACAAAATAGTAATAGTACATTTAAAAATATTTTTAAATAACATAAAATATACTTGTAGAGTAGTAAAAATAGTTTATAATTAGTATTATTGAAATGTGTTTATTTATTTTTCATATATTTAGTTAACTATAATATCTTCCAATTACAGAAAATTATCTATAAGTTATATTTTACTTATATCATATTATTTTCAAATACAATCACAATTTTGTGTAGTGCTTATTTTTAAGAGATATTAAAAACTAAACATAAATTTAACAATAAACATCGCTTGATCAAATAAGTAACAATAAATTATTTGTTTTCTTAATATTAAATTTTCTTTTAAATTTTATGTTTTATGTTATTGAAACTAAATATAACCATAATCAAAATACCAAAACAAATTTGAATTCCCAATTTTAAGATTAATTAAAATAAATTTCAGTTTACATTCAATAAATCTAAAACATAAAGTTATTTAGAATTTATAGATATTTTAATTATTGTAAATATTGATATGTGTTCATGAGCTTCCAAAAATGTATTTAACTACTTATACATGAAACCTTCTATTGATCATAGGATAACTAAAAACATATTAACAAATAAAAATAAATATTCACCAACTCTTACAATTTTAGTTCTTTTGTAAAATTTATGTATATGAATGATATTTTAGAATATTATTGTTATATTAATTTACGTATTTTGGAATCAGACACTTTAGTTAATTTTTAATTCATTCTAGGCACAATATATATTAAATTATACATAATTTTTCTAAAATATATTTACATATCTAAGACAACATCCACTATATGCAAATAATTAATTAATTAAAAGTTATATATTTTTAAAATATTACAGTTAAATTCAGAGATGCAGCCCAATTTATCAAATGATAACTAAATTAACCGTAAAAACAACAAAATCGACTAGATATAACATATATAAAATTATATTATATTATAATTAAAGTAATATAGTATTATTAATATATATGATGCATACAAATTATAAATTAATTTTAAAATTAAAAATAAATAGTAATCAATTATTATCATATATTTATTTTAAAAAATATTTATGTCCGTGCATGGGCACGGGAAAATCACCTAGTATATATATATACTTGGTGTCCAAAGAAAAGAGAAATCACTATAAAAGATATGGAAACAGATTTTGACAAAAGAAACGTGGTCTGACTATTCTCTGAAGATTTTAAACACTATATAACAAACAAAAAAAACTCCAATAAACTAAGGCGTGAATTTTATATCTCAAATCTGAATATTATTTCCCTTAATCCTCTCGCAAAGAACATACTATGGGAGTGGATACAATACAGGCATAAGCAGGATAAATTAAACAAAACATAGAGAAGGCCGGATAAAGAAAGCTAGAGTATAAAAAAGTAAATACATAATCTGCTGATTCCGAGGGGAACCGAAGCTTGCCAAAGGATAGAAGTTGCCCAATTTAAAGAGGGAGATAAAGAAAACTCGCTGTCTAAACCAGCTGCCTCTTCATCTTCAGCCTTCTGCAATCTTCATTGCTCCATATCTTTAAAACACTTTCCTTACAAGAACACAAAACCGCTTAGCTAGACATTAGTAGTAATCTTCTTTATGTATTTAGGCCATCCCCTATAGAAAAACCTCTAGACAAATCAGAGGTCTCTCTCTTAGGGGATGGCCACCCTCTTTTGATTTGTGGTGTTGTGCCAGATTAAGAGAAGGTTTCAACCATGGATGGTTGCTAGGGGGTTATATATATATTTTATTTTTTCTTTTCATTTGTGTTTTTTTGTTTGTCTATGGTCATGAAGACATTTTAAAAAGATACACTGAAAAGCCATCTTACATAAGCTATAGTGTTCTTTCCACTTTTTCACAATTCTTTTTCATTTATTAAAACAACTTTTTGTAGCAATGAACCAATATATTTCTATTGCAAGATGTTATGCTCTGGTATCATATACACGTATTTTATAAGATATTGCATGCTGAATTACTCAATAGAGAATAATATGAAAAATTCTTCAGTGTGAAACCCTTTCTCTAAAAAGATAAAGAAATCTTCAATGTACAAGTTTAGGCTATAGGCGCTGAAGGAATTTCTTTTAAGGATTTTACAATAAATTTTGCAGAAGGACAAAAGAAAGGGAAATAAATTAATGGTGTAAAGATGAATAAAATATAGTGTAAAGAGAGTGTGAAAGTAATTAGAAAAATAAATAAGTGGAAGTGGAAGCAGCTGATGATGGAAACGAGGGGAGTCTTACCTGAATATGCTTGGAATTTTGGATCATCCCAAGGAATATGCCATTTACCCAATTTGCCTTTTACACAAATACATATTCTGACTCATTTGATGACATCCACAAAAATCAGGTTAGTTCTATATTAAAATACTTAATCATGTATGTGTAACCTACCTCAGCAGCCAGCAGGAATGTACACATTATGTTGTTTGAAAACGAATTATTCTTTGAGATACAAATATTCTTTTTAAAATTTTATTAATTTTAATAAAACTTTAATAGTCAGTTTATCATATATTTCTATTAAGTAATAACTATTTCAGAAACTTAAAATTTAATGATTATTAAAAATAAAAATAAATATGTTTGGATAAATAAAAATAAAACTTAATATACTACGTGAAAAACTTAAACTATATATAACCTCTATTATTTTAATAAAATTGCGGATTCGTTTGAAACAGTGAATAAGTTTTGGTTCTTTGACAAAAAAAAACATTTTTTCATTCAAGTTCATTAATTTTGTGAAAATCTGTTATGGATTTCACTCGACTTGAAAAGAAAAGGATAAGATACCAACTTATATATAAACCCAAGTTTAGTAAAGGCCCATAAAGCCCACGAAAATTTAAATAGGCAACGTCATTTTGGCTTTTCGTATTGAAAGTCCCACATCGGAGAAGTGAGAGTCGTTAGCAGCAGAAGATGCACTATAAATAAAGGCTCTCGCTTATCCTTCAAAAATCACGCAGCCATGTGGTGAGCACAAAGCGAACTATTCTTTCGCCTTTTACTAAAGAATACCGTGTGCTCTCCACGCTAAGTGGCATACGCCTATTTTTGGAGGGTCCCACTTTAAAGTGGGCCCAACAACAGTCAGTTCAATTATTTTCTGGTCTGAGTTGCAACTCCAAGCCGGTATTAATTAAAGATTTGTTGGTTTTTTAGCCAATTTCATAAGTTTCAATTTATTGTTTCAATATCAATCTTGGAAATTATATATTGAAAAATATAATTATATTATTATACCTAGGGTTCGATTGTACACTGAACCGTAGCTTAAAACACTGCAACATTAATAACACTAGTTCATATTCCCCGCGCAAGCGCGGGGCCGGGATCATTATGTTTACGTGTATTTTTTCCGATTGTTGGTTTAGTGGATTCTTCTAATGACACCAATTAATAATGAAATGGAAAATTTCATGTTTTTATGTCGTATGTCAAAACTTGATATAATTCTATATTTATAGTATTTATATTTGTATTAAACGATTTATCAATATGAAAATAACCTTAATTAAGTTAATATTCATTGTTTAAATTTCATTAGATAGGTTTTTATATATGGTTTTTTGTAAGTTTCGGTTTTGTTCATAAATGATGTGGCATTTTTATCTACGGAGTCATCGACTGTGGGAATTCATTCGCCGAAGTCTGGAGTCGGTGGTGAGAAATGTTTTCAATGAAATTATAGTAGTTATTAAAATGTAAGAGAAATTACATATTCAATTAATAAATAACTTACTTAAATTTTGTTGTTTATTTTATTTTATTTCACATACAATTGTTTTTGAAAAATATTAGGAATGTGTTAAATGTTATTTATATGCGAAGTAAGGTTTATAGGAATAGTTAGGCTATAATATAGTTTTTAGTGTGTAAAAGTAGGTGTGTTTTTTTTTTTGCTGTAAAAGTTTTTATATCGTAGATCAAAACTTGATATAATTCTATATTTATAGTATTTATATTTGTATTAAACGATTTATCAATTTGAAAATAACCTTAATTAAGTTAATATTCGTTGTTTAAGTTTCATTAGATAGGCTTTTATATATGGTGTTTTGTAAGTTTGAGTTTTGTTCATAAATGATGTGNTTTTTTTTTGCTGTAAAAGTTTTTATATCGTAGATCAAAACTTGATATAATTCTATATTTATAGTATTTATATTTGTATTAAACGATTTATCAATTTGAAAATAACCTTAATTAAGTTAATATTCGTTGTTTAAGTTTCATTAGATAGGCTTTTATATATGGTGTTTTGTAAGTTTGAGTTTTGTTCATAAATGATGTGACATTTTTATCTACGGCGTCATCAACTGTGGGAATCCATTCGCCGGAGTCTGGAATCGGTGGTGAGGAATGTTATCAAGGAAATTATAGTAGTTATTAAAATGTAAGAGAAATTATATATTCATTTAATAATAACGAAAATAATTAATTTTTGTTCTTTTATTTTATTTCATCTCACATACAAATTTTTTCAAAATATATATTAGGAAATATGTGCAATGATTTAACTTTTTGAGCTCCTAATCTATATTATTCAACCTTCATTAAGCCATCCACGTATGCACCCGCGTGGAATTCACTTTTTTTTTTTTGTCTGTTCGTTTTTGGATTTACTTTTTATTATTTATGGGTTGAACTATATTATAATAGGATAGTTTTAAGGTTCTTTAAGCCATCCGCGTAGGCAACCACGTGAGACTTGTTTTTTTGTTTTTTGTTTTATTATTCGTTTTGGATTCATTTTTAACTATTTTGGGTTTGAACTTATTAAGGTTTAGGGTTTATACAACTATTTTGATCTTTAAAACAATAAGCCAAAAAAAAAACATAAGAACCTTATAAACAAAAAGCCCATATGATAATAACCTAAATAAAAAAAATAAAAAAAACATGATAGCTGTGTGATTTGAACCCACAATCTTGCATAATTAATTAGACACCTTATACCACTTGGATAAAGTGTATTCCATTGTTTGTGACCATCTTACCAAGACTATGTGTGTTTAAAAAATATTTTTATGATGAGGACATTAATTGGTTTATGCATGAGAGCAGTGAGAATTGAACCCATGTCCTTGGCGACCAAACATAATGTCTTAGACCACTTGGCTAAACTGATATTCTTTGTTTATAGCCATTTTAAAAAAACTATCTATTTTAAAATAAAAATGTGGGACCACAATCTGCCTATGTTGACACCTTAAGGTGTGTTTTTTTGCTATAAATAGTTTTTATATTGTAGATCAAAACTTGATATAATTCTATATTTATAGTAATTATATTTTTATTAAACGATTTATCAATTTGAAAATAACCTTAATTAAGTTAATATTCGTTGTTTAAGTTTCATTAGATAGGCTTTTATATATGGTTTTTTGTAAGTTTGAGTTTTGTTCATAAATGATGTGGCATATTTATCTACGGCGTCATCAACTGTGGGAATCCATTCGCCGGAGTCTGGAATCGGTGGTGAGGAATGTTTTCAAGGAAATTATAGTAGTTATTAAAATGTAAGAGAAATTATATATTCATTTAATAATAACGAAAATAATTAATTTTTGTTGTTTTATTTTATTTTATCTCACATACAAATTTTTTGAAAATATATATTANTATAGTAGTTATTAAAATGTAAGAGAAATTATATATTCATTTAATAATAACGAAAATAATTAATTTTTGTTGTTTTATTTTATTTTATCTCACATACAAATTTTTTGAAAATATATATTAGGAAATATGTGCAATGATTTAACTTTTTGAGCTCCTAATCTATATTATTCAACCTTCATTAAGCCATCCACGTATGCACTCGCGTGGAATTCACTTTTTTTTTTTTTTTTTTGTCTATTCGTTTTTGGATTTATTTTTTATTATTTTTGGGTTGAGCTATATTATAATAAGATAGTTTTAAGGTTCTTTAAGCCATTCGCGTAGACAACCACGTGAGACTTGTTTTTTTGTTTTTTGTTTTATTATTCGTTTTGGATTCATTTATAACTATTTTAGGTTTGAACTTATTAAGGTTTAGGGTTTATACAACTATTTTGATCTTTAAAACAATAAGCCCAAAAAAAAACATAAGAACCTTATAAACAAAAAGCCCATATGATAATAACCTAAATAAAAAAAATAAAAAATACATGATAGCTGTGTGGTTTGAACCCACGATCTTGCATACTTAATTAGACACCTTATACCACTTGGATAAAGTGTATTTCATTGTTTGTGACCATCTTACCAAGACTATGTGTGTTTAAAAAATATTTTTATGATGATGACATTAATTTGTTTATGCATGAGAGCAGTGGGAATTGAACCCATGTCCTTGGGGACCAAACATAGGGTCTTAGACCACTTGACTAAACTGATATTCTTTGTTTGTAGTTATTTTAAAAAAACTATCTATTTTAAAATAAAAATGTGGGACCCACAATCTGCCTATGTGGACACCTGAGCTTTTAAACTCAATCATTATAATATAGATTGTCTAATATCATTTTCTGTGTTTGACCATGGAGATTGCAAAACAGACATAAGTTAAACTTCCCATCGATGAAGTTTCTCTCTCCCCTACTCGTTCTAAGTGACAATATCAATGGTTCAAGGAACTTTTTAACATGACTGCAACGAGCTGATTTCTCAGTTGTAGAAGACGATGAGGCTTTATTAGCATCATTGTTCACCTTTCATATAAAAGCTTAACGAGAAGCCATTCAAATTTCATATCTGAAACCGACACAACATTCTAAAATTCTTAGGTATCATGTTATAACCCTTTGTATAAAAACAGTCAAAGATAAGTTAAAACATTTTGAAAAACATCCCCTAAATTTCACCGACTCACCATGACTGGCTCAAGATTGTTGCATAAACATTAGGAGCTGAGTGAGTCGCCAATGACAGCTTCGAGGATTCTCCTGGCATCAGTGTTTACATCAGCTAATTCACCTGGTGTCTGCAGATAACCACAAGCTTGCTATCACTACTCAAGAAGACAAGGAGAGCCAAAAAAATGCAAAATGTTTACCTTTCCATACGAGTTTTTGATTGTTGGTGAAGCACCTGAACTCAGCAAAAAATTAATCACGTTGACATGCTCACCTCTCGCTGCATGATGCAGAGGCTGTGTGAACAAGAAACATAACTTTGTCATTAATAACAGTTCAGAGAGATAGAGACAATGAGTGATTTTTAGATGGAGGATAATACTTACAGTGTCACCTTCTACATCGATAGTTTCAATCATTCTCTTCACACATTCAGGATTACTAGCTCGGCTGAAAAGAAGCTGTACTATCTCTAAGTATCCTGCTAGCCCCCAAGTTCAACAAAAGAAAAGCTATAAAACTTGAACATGCTGTGAGAAAGAAATACGGAAAAAGAGGGCGAAGACCAAGTTTACCTCCAGCACAAGCATCATGCAGAGGAATGGCTTCATCTTCATCTTTGATCTCCATATTAGCACCTCTCTCCAGGAGAAGCTGCAGTAAACACTCATTAGGCGATTAATGCGTAGTAGTTTACATCAAAGGTTCTGTAGAAATGACCAAGCAGAAGGCAGCAAAAGGAAAAGAAACCTGAACACAAGGGAGGTGACCATATAGACACGCAAGGTGAAGTGCCGAGTCATTATCCTCAAGTGGCTCATCAACTCTCCCATTCAAATTGTCTATCAAAATTCAAAGGCGGATAAGTAAATCATCAGGAAAAAATAAGAAGGATATTGTCTTAATAAGCAGTGTCTTGTACTAAAATCACAGACATATGGACATATCAGCCAATTAGGATGAAATTCTGATAATTTCACTTGTCTACCAGTAGAAACTAATCAAACTTTTCATCAATGAATAAGAGAATACAGAACTTTTGTCATCTCCATCACAGAGCCTCAAGCAACAGATCACTCAAACAAAACAAAACACACAGAATACACAGTAGACAGAAACTGAAGTTTTTAGTTACACTTCTATCCAAAGTGAAGCTAACTAAAAAAGCACAGATCAGTGAGGTTATCAAAATGGAAGAAGAAGCCCTGCTTGAGAGAAAGAGAAAGAAAGATGAGCCAAGACCTAAGAAAGGTTTATGTTTTTAATTTTTGGGTTAAAGACTGTCAAGTACACTCTTTTAGAGCTCTGGTTTTGAAGATTGGTTGGTTCCATTACAAAGCTTAAGTCTTTACATCCTAGCCAAGCTGGCACAACACAATCGAAGGTGAAAGCAAAACTAAAGTTTGACCAAAAGGGTCGCCACTAAAGCTCTTAACAGATTCGTATAGAAGCAACGGAAGGAGAAAGTAAGTACCAATGGCGGTGCGTAAGGCGACGACGTCACCGGACTGAGCAGCGGCGGCAAAGTCACGGAGGTTTGAGGAAAGCTCGGAATCGCTTTCGTAGTCAACACCGTTTTCCTCGATAATAGCGTCAACATCGTCTTCTTCCATCAAACCATTGTCTCCCCTTGGAACCGCCATTGCCGTAGTCAACCTCTCTCTCTCTCTAGACTCTATCTCCACCGCCGTGTAATAATTTTTGTCTTGTAATGATAACTCGTTGCCGGCGTGCAATTGACTCAATTAAATTTTAGGTTTTCTCATTTTATATAGTGGACGGACTCCTATACAGTATAGCCCATAATTTAAATAATTAACTTCTTTTTTTTTTTTTTTTGGACAACAATTTAAATAATTAACAGATAATATATTTATTTAGTAATTTATAAAAAAATATTACATGTAAAATCATACTTTTTTCCGTAAAGTTTTTGTTTTATAGATAAATGGGCCTAGTCCAAACGGCCGAAGCCCAACTACAGCAAAACGCTACGAAAACCCAAAAATATCCGGGTTAAAATATAAACGGCTGAAGTCCAAAAAAACTACTACAACAGGCCAATGGTCCATGCAAGCCCAAAAGACTACGGGCAAAAGCAAAAGCTAAACGGGTCCTACCCAAACTCATAAACCGCACGACCGAATAGCGTGTCGAGGAGGTTGGTTCAACACGTGGAGAGATCTGCTCCATTAACGCGTCACGCATCGTAACCGCCTCTACGCTGCCAGAGCAACACCATCAAAATCCTCATTCATCGGAGCTCAGTAACCGACAAGCCTCCAACGAACCCATGCCCCGTTCTTCATCGCACTGTCATCACACCGGAGAGTTCCATCGAACCTCGAGATCTCCTCCGACTATAAAATACTTCAAACCCTAGACACGCAAACCGCGAACCATGACTTTCTTTCCTTAAAAGTCGTCACCTCACCGAAGAACTTTATCGTTTACCGAGATCTCATCCGCAGTGACCCAGTCCAACCTTGACGACAACCACACCGAATATGACACAAATCGAATCTAATAACCTTAACCCAACGAACTTTGGGTTCCTAAGCGGCAGCGCGGAGCTTTGCTAGTCTCTGCTCTCTGTAACCAAAAGTCGGCGAAGGTGAGTTTGAAGAAGACTCTCTTCCCGGAAACTAGAGCCGGCAATGATGGATCTGAGTAAGCATCCACCTCCCGGAAAACACCACATCTGAACATGCAAACTATTCCCTCTCCACCGGGTACCTCCAAACGAACGCGTTGTTACTCCAAATCTGAACTACCGTTAAGGATGGAAGCGGTACCGGAGCTCAGACAATACGGTCGTTGAGAGGACGACAAAGAAAGAGCGAAGGGGAACCACTACGACAAACAAGAAAACTCCGGTGTCAGCACGGTCGCTCACGCGCCGGCCGAAAGTCGGTCCCCAAAATAGATCTAACTTTTCTCTATCGTTGCAGTATATCATATAAGTATGTAAGCTTGGATATTTTTGTACTATTTTATGCTGACCATTATTTGTATTTACTTTTGTTAAACATATACTTTTGTAAAGGTCAAAAATTAAAAATGCTAATTTAGACATTTGAGTCCAAAAAAGTAAAGGTCGAATCTGTAGAATAACATTTTTAATTTTTTAATCCTATTTTAGAGATTTGACCTTTACAAAAGGTATATGTTAAATATATCGAAGATAATATTTTATATTAACAATTATGTAAATAAGATTTATTTTAACAAAAGAGAATCTAATTACTCTAACTTGATCTCATTTCAACCTTTAAGTACTAAACTATAAACCCTAAAAATTTTAAAATTCTCAAATATAAATTAAACTAGGTGTTTTATAATTATATATACTAATTAAATATATTACTAATTAAAATTATAAGCATATATTATTATTTGTGTTTTCATTTTGAAATTTTCTAATCTTAAAATTATTCAAATATTATTTTTTCAATTATAAAAAATTATGAATTTTAATTAATTAATATTTAATTATTTATTTTCTGTTTTTGAATTTTTAAATATTTTATTAAAGATAGCTTTCAGATAACAATACAATATATAGATATGAATTATCTGTTTAAAATAAAATATATTTTTGGATTTGGATAACTCTTATTGTTATTGTTTAAAATAACTTATCTAATAAAATAAATTTAAATTCGTTTTTATATATAATTAATTTATATAATTTATTCATTAAGGGTATAATCGATATTAACCACTCCAACTTTTAACGTGAGAGCTCCATTGCGAAGTATTGTTTTCTGTTTTTGAATTTTTTTATTTTCTGTTTTTGAATTTTTAAATATTTTATGAAAAGATAGTTTCAGATAACAATACAACATATATAGGAATTATCTTTTTAAAATAAAATATATTTTTGATTTTGGATAACTCTTATTGTTATTGATTAAAATAAATTATCTAATAAAATAAATTAAAATTCGTTTTTATATATAATTAATTTATATAATTTATTCATTAAGGGTATAATCGATATTAACCACTCCAACTTTTAACGTGAGAGCTCCATTGCGAAAAATCACTTCGCAAATAATAGTATAGACTAGGTGTTTTGCCCGCACTTGCGGGCATAATTATCTTATAAATATTTATTAGTTGATATTTCATTAATTTAAAAATCAGCATAATAAGTTATTATTTATGTTATCAAAAAGTAAAAATCAAACATCAAATAATTATTAATGACAAAACTCAAACTTCAGAAATATTTAAAACAATATATTTCTATAATTATTTTGCT